TATTTTTATTATTATTTTCCAATTAATAATATTTCTATTGTCATTATTTTCTTTCATATTTTTAAACATTTACTTTAAATAAAATTACCAGCTTTGCCAGAAATGCCTTCGAAGTTTCATATTAAAAATTCATTATTTATTTTCTCCCCTCTTTCATAAATTTACCACAATTATCTCGAACTTAATGTATTCTATTTTGCTGTTTAATGTTAAGTTTGCCTTTATGTTCTTTATAAATCATAAGTATCATTACTTAATTATGTCAAAAAGAGCTTTGTTCAGTTTTGATGTGCTGACAAATTTGTGACGAACTGCCACTGATTAAAAAGTTGAGCTTTCCAGGAATAACGTTGGGGCATAAGGTGCACATTATATTTAGATAAGTGGTGAGTAAACATACTTGTTTATGTAAATATATACTTTCTTATGTATGTGTACATAACTATGTATGCGAAGACTTATGTTCCTTATACCTTGCTTAGCAACAGGAAAGTGAAAGTTAAAACAATAAATGTGTGTAAATATATAAATATAGTAAATATATAAATATAGTTTTTTTAACGTTGAAAGTGTGTAAATTGAAATTCAAGCAAAAAATAATTATCTCTCAAAAACACAAACTAATTCTCAGGAAATTAATTACAAAATTATGAATTTTGCTTATATATATTTACATATTTTAGAAAAAAAAAAGAAATCTACGAAACGGAATATTTTTTTAAGTAGAATTATGCGAGTTATAAATTTTTCTATCCAATAATGAAAATAATATAGAAAACCCACAGGACGACACGTTAAGAATTCATACCGATTTCCCGATTAAGAACTCTTACTTGGAGAACCTTTTCTTAGAGCTGTCTCTCAACCAATTTTTCAAAATACCAGGCGAAAAAAAATTTGCTCGTTTCTGTCTCACTCTAATGTTTACTTGTATACCTACTTATGTATATGCTTCCACAAACGTATGTGCATGTAAAGCCGCTGTCATTATGACTTTTACATAACACCAGCGCAGCAAGTCACTTCGTCAATGAACTAGAATTTGGTCAACAGCAAAATACATATACACACGCATACATGCAAGAATAAATTAGTCAGCAATTTTTTCGCAAGCTTCGATGGAATTATGCTTCACCGCTGCTTATATGGAAAACATATTCGCGAATATTGCACATTTTAGCAGTTTTCTTTATTGCATTGCATAGCTATTTACATGTAATGATTATTTTCTCGAATTAACAAGCAAGAGTATACAAAAAAATGCGCCAATTGATCCACAAAGTTCTAATAATTGCAAGCTATTAGAATTGCTGTGACAACTTTCATATGAATGGAGAATTGCTTAACACTATTAAAGCAATACAGAAAAAAACTATTTGCACTTAACTCAAGCATACCTCAAACGATTTTTTTGCCTGCTTTCCGAACACTTAATAGCGTCTCAGCGCGATTAACTTTAATTGCTTATTTTTATTGCACTTTATGTCTTATTGCTGCTTATTTATTATTCACACTTTGGCTTTGGTGACTTATTTCGCTTTTTTTGCTTGTCATTTTAAGCAATCAGCACAATTATTTACGTCACTGCATAGCGCTAACCACAGCGCCTAGCTGGGTGTCATGTATGCGGGCACGTTCGCCCACTGCGGCGCGGCGGCAATGCGGTTTGTCGCACGGGCGGGTGGCGGCACGAGCGCTAGGCGGTCGAAGCGAAGCGCGGCGGCGACATGAAGAGATGCGCCACTCATTGCGAACGCGCTCAAGATTAATTGATTTCAGTGTAGCCACAAAGTCTCCGCAATCGCAGCCAATGGATCACGACTGTCTGCTTTTATGTACATATATGCGCGTGTGTGTGCGCGAGCGGCGAGCTATCGGCCGTTATACTTACAACTATACGTGTATGATATATGTATAGAGGTTTGTGTGTATGCCGTGCGCTTTGACTTAGTGCATTATAATGCGCCACAATGCCATCTCCGCGCCGCTTAGTAGCAATTTAACTGTTGCTTTTAGCTTTGCTTAATTTTTTTAGCGAAAAATTCGCTAAAGCTTTGACAGCTGTTAGCAATGAAAACTGTATTTCTATACACATTCTATTCATGGCGCATGTTTATCAACGACATTCCTTATTCATCAGACTTCAATAAAAACGCGCACACACACATACAGCCGCGTTTATAAGTATGAGTGTGTGTTATGCATTTGTGTATTTTATAAGTCTAGAAATAGACAAATAAAATTTGCTAGATAAAGCAATTCTGCGAATCGCTTTAAATACCCACACCGCATTCCTTAAGCTTTTATACGCTTGTCTGCTTTTGTTGTTGGTTTTAGCTTTATTCTAATTTTTTATATTTTTATTTTTTGAATTCTGTATAACTTTTTGCTGGCTTTCTTTTATATATTCGACGTGCGCGATAAAAATTTCTGGCCTCTTACAACCGTTACAAGTGGAGAATGTAAGAAATAAAAATTGATTTACAAGAAAGTGAGAAAGCAAAGTAAGAAAAATCAAGATTAAAATTTGGGAAATTAATTCTTCCAAAATTGTACCACGAACGATAATTTTTTAAATAGAAACACGGAGCGCCAATTTAATTCGAAGTTAGACTCACACAGGCTTAAAATCAGAAGTGATTTTTATTAGATTAGGCGATAATATTTAGAGTGTGGCGAATCGAACAAGTATTTGATATAAACTTAATGGGTTTTTGTAATGTGTTAGAAGCTTTCTTCGAGCATCCAAGCATAGTAGAGTATCGAATTTAACGTACTATACCAACTATTCATACTTTTCTTTTCGGTGAAAAATTTCTAAAATTCTGAAAATA